GTTTTAGCAGAATTAAACACACCAGCGAATTTCTCTGCTCGCTTCAAGTGCCATTTGTAATGTGTTTTCCTTAAGGTCACAGTCATGGCTTTGCAGCGCTCTACAAAAGCGGAGCTCACCGCTAAGCCACGCCTTCTCCGTTTGACATTCTCAATCTCTAGGTTGGCGCTCTGTAAATCAGGCCACACTGCAGGCAGCAGACGCGAGGAGCAGGGACGCAAATAGTTCTGCCCTGTTTTACTTAAATGTGCCAACACCACCAATACACTACTCACATCAGCAAATAGTGTCAATATTAGAGCAAGAGACAAAACCACTGTAAGTGATATGTTTCTTTTTTCTCAAGCATTCCTGAAGGGCTTATGGGGGATACAAGCCTGGCAGTGTGTCTGATGCTCTGGACCGGGCAGCACTACTGCTTTTCTGCCGGAGAGCGTTGATAATAGTGTGCCAGCTGTTTTGGGATAGGGTGCTGATTATTGGATACAGATCTGAGACTTGGGCTTAGGCTGGCGATTTGGTCTAAAAATAAAATCTCGATTTTTTTTCTAACTAATTGACAATTTTTGATTTAAACCTCGATTTTTTTCTGTTTTTTTCTAAACAAACCAGACCAAGGCAAAATGTAAATACATATTTTCTTTATTAACACAATAAAAATAAATGAGATTACCAAGTAGTCTAGGCCTATGTGAACAAATCAGTTGTTCAAGAATAAAAAAAAAAAATAAAAACAGCACCACTTGGCTGTCATTAATGTGCAAAGATTTTTTTTAAATCAAACTGAAAAAAAAATCTCTTGTAGGCCATCCCTGAAAAAACTTGTAAAATGAAATACAACGAATAATATCGGGCAGAGCTGCAGATCGGGTAGTCACAGGCAATGTGGCTGAGTTTTGTGTCGTGTCAGGTGGACGTGTCGTGTAGTGTTGTGTACTGTCCGCGGCCGCAGCTAGACCATATTGGCGCGTTCTGGAAAGTGAGAGAGTAAGCTACTACGGAGTCCCTTAAAGCAAAACAAATCTGCGGAGTCTAGAAATGTTTTTAAACCGCGATTTTTCGGTTCAGCCATTTCACAAACCGTAGGAAAGTAAAAATGCAAATTAATCGTTAAAACCGAAAAAATCGCCCAGCCCTACTTGGGCTGTAGGTCTGTGGGCTCTGAGGTTGACCCTCCTCCACAGGGGACGTTGAACATGATGAATGAAGACAGTGATGATGGATGATCTATGATCCTTCCCATGTGCTATTGGAACTTTTTGCCCATGACTTATGACAGTTTTTGTTTATTTTCATAAACACTCTGCTCTATGATTCACGCCTTGCTGAACAGACATTATTGGGAACTAAGTTCTGGAGGTTTGTGAGTGGACTGAAGCATAATATGACAGCAGAGGACTCAGAGTAAATGGTTGCTACTGAAGGTGCTTGTGATTTATAATGCACTCTGCAAGCCAGAGGCTAGGACTGTGATGAATATGACCTTAGCTCCTTTTGAAAGGAGAACTGATTCTCTAGCCGTGAAACAAGCACTGAAAAGTGAAACATTGGTAGGAAGCAGGAAGAGGGAAAGAAAGGGAAGGAATGAAAACTCAATGTGCTTCCTCCGCCACTGGAATTCATCAGTGCTTGTCAAGACAGCTGCCCTGAGTAGGCAATGAATTAGTTTCAAGTGTCTGTGTGCTAAAGCAAGCAAGGGGAACATTAATACTCCCTAATCAAGGCCTGTGTTGGCACATTCTCTCAGTTGTCTCCTTTCTTGATATTCTACCCTCCACCGGAGACAGAGAGACAAAGCCAAGGAAGACGGGTAAGACATGTCTGGTTGAGCTCTGCTGGCAGGCCATGCAACTCTTAATATGAGGTTTATAGGTTTGATTTGTTTGTTTTTTGTTTGATATACTTTATTAATCCCCGTGGGGAAATTGTTTCTCTGCATTTGACCCATCCTAGTGTTAGGAGTAGTGGGCTGCCATTTTGAACGGCGCACGGGGAGCAGTGTAGGGAACAGTGCCTTGCTCAGGGACACCTCGGTAGCACTTGGTCTTGCCGGGACTTGAACTGGTGACCTTCCAGTTGCCAAGCCAAGTCCCTATCGACTTCGCCACCACCGCCCAGGTTTAAGGTTATAATAGCCTCACCTTTGTTGGAGTAGAAGTTTGATTCCAATAGGAAAAGCCATGTGACGACACTTCCACATGCCTTATTGCTGTAATGTCACATTCTGTTAAGAGCAAGCCAACAAAGAGGCAGCGCTTATCTTCAGAAAGTGATGCATTATCATCTCCATCTCCTATCCTGTGTAAAACAGTCAAATTGCCCTAGCAAGAATCATCGGTACCTGTTTGAATTGGTATAAACGCCTATTAACTCCCACGTTTTTTTATATTTGAAAAACTCACTGGAGGTAGAACTTTAAAAATCTACCCAAAGCACTTTGTTCTTGTGTTTGCTACAGTAGTACCCCTTGGATGCGTGCAGTGTGCAAAATGCTAGCCAGCTGGCAGGTAGCATGCTGCTAGGTGTTCAGCTGCATGTATGTGGTCATTGTGAGCATATGAATATATTGGCTTTGCAGAGAGTAGCTTAATGCAATGCACAGATGAAAACAAGACCCAAGTAGGTGAACAGTCCCATCTCCAAGAAGCACATAAGCAAATTAAGTGTGACCAAAAGCTTTAATTCGAAAGGCAGAAGGATTAGGCGGTTTGATGAGCAGATTTAAGGGTGCAGGCGAGGGGAACAAAAAGAAACACTTCTGGCCAAGCGTAATAATCTTTGAAAATGTTCTTTAAACCCATCTCTCTGTGACGTGTGTTTTCACTGCACTTCAACCCAACATCTTCCGCCCTTAAGATTAAGAGCTTTTATCGTGTATCCTCTCTCTCTCTCTCTCTCTCTCGTGATTGCTGCTTGATATTTTTGCTTTTGACGTCTTCCTCCGCGCTTGCCTTTTTCCTCAAAGTGGACTTTAATAGGTTTAGGAAATGTAACATCTTAGTGCACTTACAGACAAGTGTATTACCAGCCTTCTTCTAAAACACTCTCTCTCTCTTAAACAAAGTTTGGCCTGTTAGATAAGGCTTTGTGTAATCATGTTCCCTCTTTCTTCCAGACCTTCCATACACCCAGCTTGGGAGACGAGGAGTTTGAGATTCCTCCCATCACACCTCCACCTGAGATTGAGTCTGGGATGGGTCTTTCGGACGTGGACTCACCTTACCCAGCAATGCCGGAGCCCCCAGTTAATCACAGGGGTCTGTTAATCCCTCAGTTCCCCCCTCAGAGTATGGATCTGCCCTGTATCACCATCTCACGCAACATGATGGACCAGGAAGGGCTGTCTGTCAACAACGGCCAACCTGTGGTGAGTGTGCTATGCATTTACCCCACTATAAAATCACGAAGTCTATTTATTGTCTGCGTCTAGAGAAATCCTAATCTGTCAACACACAATTCCTGCTCCAGTGTGTGTCCTTCCTGTAGCTCCAGATGTGTCTATTCACACTAAAGATATTACTTTTAAATATAAGCTACTGGACAGCGCTGAAATCAGAAGCATGCAGTCCTTTTTAATGAGGCCTTTTTCTGATCCGTAATGTCACCTTGACAGTTTGTGTACCCCTCCTGTTGACAGTACATCTGGCACAGCATCTGGCCCTGTTTACAACACAGGAGGTATATGATCACATTGAGTAAATGTCATGATGTTATGTTACTTACTGTGAGGTTTTGTTGAAAAAAGCACACACTTTTTCGATGATCCCCCTCTGTAAGGTGAGCAGATGTGTATAGATCACAGGTGTTAAAGTATAAAGCACATTCAGTCCCAGTAGGACGGCGAGAATGGGACCCACAAGTGCCACACGTTCACGTGCTCATATTTTATTCATGTTGCATCCAGAAGCCCTTTTTTTCCCGGTTGTAAATGCTGATGCACGCTCGTGTCCAATGTCACACGAGGCGTTCAGAAAAGACACATGATTTGTTCGGAGTTTAGGATCAGAATTACCCTCAAAGAACTCACTTCATGAACCCACTTCAACTTAATCCTCCTTTCTTCTGATACGCACGGTCAAACATGGAACGGCAGACAAAAATAATCACTCCTTATGTTGATGCCGCTATGTGTGCTATAGATTGTGAGATTGTTGTCTCGGGCTCCAAAAGGCATTTTCAAATGTCACATTCCTAGAAAGCATTGAGTAGGAAAAATGGAAATGTCACTGGCTGACTAGTCGTCTTGCAGACCTATTAGAAAAACGGAAGATTCATTTAGGAGAAAGGAAAGGACACAGGCATGAGCGGAGACATGATGCTGTTGATGCTGAATCTGCTTTGTGAGCCACAAAACACATTGCATTGAGAAAAAGGTGTCATGATCGTTATAGCTGTGTGAATTCTCTCCAACACATTCGTTGAATCTCACTGATATTACAGATATGTATTTACATTCCATATGGGAAGGGGCGGGCTATCGTTTTTCACAGCTCTTTTTCCATGCTTCTGGCATGTCAAATAATTGCGGCTTTTAAAAATGTCTCCGCCGCATACAGTAAGCGAGCCCCAGAAGGCTTTTGCCTAAAGAATTTCCATTTCATGGTCAGTTAAGCTTTCTACATCTGCAAGAAACGAAACCTTGACACAATTACATTCCTGACTGTTCTCACGACTTGCTGGAGGATTAGATTTGATTCTCAAACATTATTCCTCTTTAACACCATTTGCATGGCTCATGTCTCTGATTGTGCGGAGACTCTATTAAAAACTGAGGGGAGAATGTGGGTTTCTGCTCCTTGCCTCGTGGCTTTTGTCGGCTGCACACTACTCACTCGTTATCAGTCATCGCACATGGTACCGCAGGAAGGCTTGTGGTGGCCCTTCATTTCTCCTGTAAATGGGATTGATCCTCAAAAGTCTCGTGACAATGCCTTCGGAAATTCTATTCATCTGTGGTTTTATCGGCGCCTTGAAGAAGGGAAACGCAACTTTTAAATGAGATAAGTAACAGCGCGGTTCGCAGTGCATTCTATATACAGAGACAATGATTTACTGAGGCCCTGAGAGGGGTGTTTTCTCATTTTGTCAGCACACTGATAAAGGAATGACAACCTTATATACATGATTACATTCTGTGTTATTTGTTATGGCTGCAGGGGCAAACAAATAAACCGTGCACTATTGCAATTACATTTTTCATCAAGCCCCCATGCTCATATTTCCCAAACACTTGTCTTGGTTTTCTTTTCTGTATACATGCTTACTGGTGGAGAATATTTAGTGTGTGTGGAAGCCTGTCTCTTATCAGAACTTAATGAGAAACCCAAGCAGTGAATATACCTGGGCTATTTTCAAAGGCTTCTTCCATGTCACTGCATTGCCAAGTGTTCTGCTAATTCCTCTCCTCATAATGTTCAGCGTATGCTTTGCAAATTGGACACAGATGCCGGGCTTCTACAAAGAGAAATACATTTTATCTCAGCTGCAATGTGGCTGGCGAGCCGCGAATCTGAAGTCATTATTTATTTAATCTGCTCTCCTAACAAGCTTCTGACTCTCATTTTTGTCTCCCAGCATGTGTCCTCCTGATTTGTGATTGGATCTCAATAGTGCCAAATAGTACTGGAGTCAGAGCTGCCAGTATTGCTTTATTCACAATCTCTTCTCGATTTTCTCCCTGCTGCACAGCAAGGGTCTCTGGGTTCTATTTCAAAAAACACCTGATGCCTTCACCACACTTTCAGATTTTCTTGACACATGTAGGCATGTACTGAAATGTCCTGAACGATTGGATTTCAAAACCTACAGAAGTCAACTAGTTCTATTAGATGTTCAAATCAATATTAAGTAGATATGACCCCTGCTGTCTTATTACATTTAACACTATGTGGTGATGCATTATATATTGTTCATTACCAACCAGCTGTTCCACATGTCATTAGATCTACAGCAGCAAATATATGCTAATGTCTGACAGAAAATAGCGTGTTGGACCAAGTGCATCATGCTAGATGAAAGTGAGGCGGGAAAAGAGATTTGTTGTTCACATGATTTGATATGTCTAGATATTGTGTAGATTGCAGTGAGTATAATAGCCTTGGCTTTGACTGGTCAAAAACCACTATATCCTGAATGAAATAGGAAATGTGAGCAGTGTTGCAGAAAGCATGTTTTTCCACACTTCCCTCTTATCTCCCTTCCAAGCCAAGAAGCACTGACATGAGTTGTACATCAATTTAAGAGAGTGGATTTTTTTTTCTCGCTCCGTTTCTTATTTCTCTTCTCCCTCGACGGACAGCTATTGTGACATATTGGGTCAGTCAGAAATGAAAGATATTCATGCAGGCATGCAATACTTGTAATGAAGTCTCAGCTTGACCTTCTGCATGATTGATTCTGTAATTTACTTTTCTCAGGCAGCTCTCAAAATGAAATGATGTCATGTTGGACAAGTTTGAAATACCCATAATGCATCAGGAGAAATGGTGAAAAGGGGTATGGGTCAGTGGCTGTACTGAACCATGGAGAGGAAACCTATTGGCCTTACAGTGTACGGGAGGGATAGAGATTTGTTTTTAAAAGAAGGGGTTAGAGGTCGGAGAGATGGATGAACTGAGTTTGCACACGGCACAGAGAGAAAGAGAGAGAGGTGTGTTTGACTCAGGCAGGGCAGGGGAAAGAAAAACAATTTATCTTCATGCTATTATAGCCTTTACCAGCATTCAAAATTCCATTTTTCTTATTTGGCTTAAGCACAGACTTTCAGCAGGTTGCTGGAAAGGGAAGGGAAAAAATCAAATGATGTCCCCGTTTAGAAGGGGAGTAAAGGAATATGTGCAGAGCGCTGATAAACTATCTTTAATAGGACTGACCTTTCATGCTGGCGAAAGTTACTGGGGGATTCATCCTTATAATTACCATATAGATGATTTTACCCCTCTCCTGCCATGGAACATTTCCAAGAGCTCTGGCATTGATTGAATGGAAATTGAACTTGTTAACATTCTTTTCAGCCTGTTACAGCTCAGTACATGGTGCCACTGTTCATACATTCTCCCCAAATTCTGATTTCCAATATCTTAAAGAGCAGACTGCTGCCCGCCTTTCATTGACATCAGTGTTGAGATGTTTATCGCTTGGTGAATGCATAATGTTGCATTTTGTGTCCAGCTGCTGTGTTTAGCAACCTAATGGGAAGTGTTACATAATGAACCTACATTTATTTAAACAAATCCTTTCTTATTAAGGGATTTCATTTCAGCTTCTTAGTGTTTGACCTTAAAAACATAGGCAGATTGAACACACACACACACACACACACACACACACACACACACACACACACACACACACACACACACACACACACACACACACACACACACACACACCTCTCACTAAGGAGGGCACATCTGGCCACTGTGTACCCAAGATAAGGACTTATTTGCAGATTTACGATGACTATCAAAATATCTAGTTCGGTGTCTGCTGTGACTGCTGACGATACTGCAATCAAAATGCAAATGAGAAGGAAGAGGGACATAAATAAACATCCTGCCACCAGATATTCATATTCACAATCAAGGCAACCCTTACTTAAGATGATTTCTTTCACCTTGTTAACTTTCCAAATCAGAGGCAAATACTCACAATGCCATACTGTAGTAAAAAGCACAATTGCTGCTTCTGCACTTATTGCTTTAATATGTGGTAAAAGAAGACATTTAGCAGGCTGTTAAGTGTGATATGATTAAGTCTTTAACTGTGGTCATCGGTGCATCTTTTTTAAATGCATAACATCCAAAGGCCATTTCGTAAAAATCACTAAAAACTAACGGGGCCATTGCTCCAAGTCAAAACGGCATCTTTGGGATTGGGCAAAAGTGTTATTATACAGATGGCCACGACTAATGAGCTCAGTGTGTGCATCTTTGATGTTCGCAGCGAGCAGAGAGCGAACTGCGAGCCATCGTGTTCTCAGTAATGAAGATGACAATAGCACTTGGAACACTTGGTTGCAGATATGTAAATCACAGTCATTTGGTCACAGGCTTGTTTACTGCAGTGAAAGCTTCCATATTTGAAGCATTGCAACAATATGTGTTCAATTTCTCCCCCCCCACCCAAACATCCGCCCTCACCTTTTGCAGAGTCTTCCTCTCAGATGTAAATATAAATCTGCTCTCACTTCATAGATTGTATTTATGATAAGCAGCAGACATGGCATATGAGAAAGAAACAGATTGTAGATCCAATATGTTTCTGTCTGAAATGGTGTTACAATATTGTTTTTGCATTCATAAGGTTCTTTCAATAAAGCCAGGTGTGTGGGTTTATGATGTGTTGATGTTGGGAGAGATTGAGTTTGTGCTGCTGAATACCAGATGGATGTGCCCAGGGAGAACAAATCACCTTTTCTGTTGTGTTGACGTTGCCTCCTCTGTTCCATGTCAACTCCGATGCCTTTCTGATCAGTCTTCCCTCCGGGGAGCTTTGTAATTTCATCCTCGCCACAATCAATGCTAACATGTTGCATGCACCTTCTCCAGGACTCAAAGCCAAATGTTTCACCGTGAAAAAAGTGAGAGAGATTTGAAAAGTGTTACTACATTGTACCCCGGTTGGCAGAAGGGAGGCAAACTGTCCAAAGCCCTTAAGCTTCATACCTTCAGCCAGATAATTGATGGAATTGATTATATAGAAGCTGCTACTTTCACAGAGTTATAATCTTAAAGTAATGTAGGCTTGCGACCGCCTTAAACTAAACTGACATGTAGGTGCATGCATGCAATCTGCAGCTGGAGCAGTCTGTTTATCGTGGCATTTGAAGTTATGTGCTCAAGCACCGGAGAACCCAGTCCACTGTTCTCCTCCAGGGACCGGCAGTCAAAAGCTGTGTCATAGATTTCCATACAATAGAGTTTTGAAAATGAGTCAACTGAGCTGTGTAGCCACCTATTACTGGCTTATAAAGTTGGCCCTTTGGGTGTCAAGATAATTTATCATGGCCTGTAATACACTTAAGACCCAGGACACGGTGACATGTGATCTGCCTCATAGCAATCCGCAGAATCCAATGACCCGATTTCTTCTGTGGTAAAAAGATACAGCTTCAATAGCTTCATGCGCTGGGCAGTGGGGCGTCATGATGAGATATCTTAGAGCTGGACAAATGAAATGCAAGACTATGAAGCCAAGAGGCAGTATGAAAAACAGAGAAAAATGAATGAATAAGATATTTCACTTGGTATTATTTTCTTAACAATCCTTTGCTTTTGTTTTATTTCCTTTACAGAATGTTGGACCAGGCCATCATCGCCAGTACTCAGCCAACCCAGCCATGGTGATGAAGTCCATCATCAGCATGAACAGCCCCAACGGGATGTTATCACGTAATCAGCTGACCACCATCAACCAATCCCAGCTCAACGCACAGCTGAGCTTAAACATGGCGGGACCCAACATCGCCCACACTGCCCCGTCACCCCCCACCAGCAAGTCCGCCACCCCGTCCCCCTCCAGCTCCATTAACGAGGACGACCAGGAGGAAGGCAACAGGGTGAGCGAAATGTCTTTTAAAGGACACCTATTAATGCAAAATCCACTTCTTCATGTCTCTTCTACATAACCATGTGTCCCCTCTTTAGAAAGATACTCTGAAAGTTTCAGGAACAAAGATTCTCTCTCTTTTTGTCCTGATCCATTTCTATAAAAACCTGTCTGAAAATGAGCTGATCAGATTTCGGCCACTTTATGATGTCATCACAATGTGTTGGCTTGTGTAACCATTAGCCAATCACCACCAAGGTAACCCCCCCCCACCCCATCACCCGAATCTCCTCCTAGAGCACCATTGAGTTCTTTGTAACCAAATCTCTCTCAGAGGGGCGTGGGGAGGGGCTCCTTATTTTCATCTAAAGTAACAGACAGAGAATCAGCACTTTGGAAACAGGGCTGAAACAGAGGGCATTATGGGTAATGCTGCAATGATCTGTTTGGTATTTATATATCTGAGACCTATAATATATTGATGAAAAACAGTATCATAGGGGACCTTTAAGGGTCAGTGAAAGATATGAACCTCCTGATGTTAAATGTATTTATCTCAATCATTGCAGATCATTGGAGAGAAGCGGCCCGCCCCCATAGATCCTGTAAAGAAGCCCAAGACTCCCAAGAAGAAGAAGAAGAAGGATCCCAATGAGCCTTCGAAACCGGTGTCCGCCTACGCTCTGTTCTTCAGAGACACCCAGGCTGCTATTAAGGGTCAGAATCCAAACGCCACCTTTGGAGAGGTGTCTAAGATCGTGGCCTCCATGTGGGACGGTCTGGGAGAGGAACAGAAGCAGGTAATACAACGTTTGATTATTCTAGTTATTGTAATATTCTTACCAATGCATAGCCCTACTAGTTAAAAAACTGAGATCCAAAAGGAAACAAGTGTACATTGTGCTTAATGTATTAATGCTTAAGTGTGTAATGTGCTTTGTGTCATAAAAGGAATGTGTCAAGAGAAAAACAAGTTGTATTTATCCATTCACCTTTTGTGTCTTCACAGTCTTACAAAAGCAAAACAGAAGCTGCCAAGAAAGAATATTTAAAAGCTCTTGCCGCATACCGTGCCAGCCTGGTTTCCAAGGTGAGAACATTTCCCTTTCTTTCACCTGAGAAATGTGTGAATTTGTTAGAAAAGTACATTTATCAGAAATTCTTTGTATTACATTGTGCACTGGGAAGTTAGTAATGACCAAAACAACTGAAGCTATTTGATGTGTAAAAACTGTAGAGTGAACGTTTAGACAGAAGAACAGACATTCTTCAGAGAGGAGAAGTCTGGCTTTGTAAATCAGACTGGATATTTGTTCTCCACGTAGGCTGCAGCAGAATCAGCCGAGGCCCAGACCATCCGCTCCGTGCAGCAGACCCTGGCCTCCACCAGCCTGTCCCCCGGCCTGATGATGCCCTCACCCCTCAACCAGCACCACTCCATGGCAGCAGCTGCCCTGGCCCTACAGCAAGGCATGCCACGGGCCATCGCCCCAAAACCTCTGCAGATGAGACTAGGGGGCAACCAGATCGTGACCTCGGTGACCGTCTCCCACCAGAACATGGCCCCCGGGATGCCCCAGCAGATGCTCGGCCAGATGGGGTCCGGAGGGGGCATGGTGGCGGGTGCCCAGTCCACAGCGGTGTCTCAGATGAGCCCCCCCATGCAGCCGCAGCAGCATGCCATGCAGCAGATCCAGCAGCAGCAGCAGATGCAGCAGCACCTCCAGCACCATCAGATGCAGCAGCAGCAGATGCACCACCAGCAGATCCAGCAGCAGATGCAGCATCAGCATTTCCAACACCACCTCCAGCAGCAGCTGCAGCAGCACCACATTCAGCAGCAGCAGCAGCAACACCAACAACAACAGCAGCAGCAGCAGCAACAACAGCAACAGCAGCAACAACAACAACAACAACAACAGCAGCAGCAGCAGCAGCAGCAGATGCAGCACATGCAGATGCAGCATCAGATGCACCAGCAGCAGCAGATTCAACATCTGCAGCAGCAGCAGCAGCACCAGTCCCAGTGTTCCCCCCCCCAGCACTCTCCTGGTTCAGTGGGGGGCTCTGCGTCGCTCGGCAGCCCCCAGCCGGCCTCCCAGCAGCAGCCTCACCCCTCCCAAATCCAGGCCCACGCCCAGGCCCTGTCCCAAGTCAGCATTTACTGAGCCAAATGGAAATCCTATCTCAAAGAACAGGAATAGAATAAAAGCATCATTCCACGTTGCTTTTCTACGTTGCACTTAAGAAGTGTGTAAGATTTAGAATGTTATACAAAGAACTTGTCCATTGTTATAGACGGATATGCACACGCGTGTACAGGGAAGAACATGTTAACTTGGTTTTTGTCTATAAAATAGGCTGAGCTGTGACAGAAGCCTGTTAGGGCGAGCGCCCAGTGATTGTTTATTTGTTTGTTTGTGAGGTCTTTCAGTTGTCAATTTAAACTGACTGGGCACACGATATGTTGAAAGACGTGTCTTTCACTGTTTTATTTAACAATAAAGCTTTATTTATGCGGCCAGAGTCTTCAGTTCAGCGCAGCAAAAAGACATTTTGAATGCGTTTGAACCAGAGGATTTCTATCAGCTCTCGCCTGGACTGACTCACAGGATCCTGGAAACCAGTAAACCCACACATCAGTCTTTGTTCCCACACTGGCCAGTATATAGCGAGACTTTCTTTACTCCAACCTTTCTCCTTCACACATCGCTCTGGCAGATGTAACCTTTCAACAATGGCGGAAAGGAAATGGTTGATTAAATCATCACACGTCGGAGGCCCAGTGATATTTGAACACTGTTAAATCATCTCTCAAATGTAAGCAATGTCTTGAAGAAGATGGGGGACTGAAAATATAAAGTCTAGACCTCTGGATGAACGACAGAAACTGCCATAAATCACTTGTTTCATCACATCGTCAAACTGTAGCTGTAATCTGCTGTACATGTTTCGTAGAGTGGGAGACACAGGACCTCCCGTATCCACTACCCTCCAGATGATTAGCCCAAAAGCGTGTAACTGGCACCCCCTCCTCCAAAAAAAATGATCTTTAATCTATTTGTTTTTACTTCAGATGTTTAACAATTAAATTATGTTTTTATTTTGTGTAACAAAGGGGATATTTTATGGTAAATACAAATGTCCGGATCAAGGCAGATGGTTTGGGGATTGCTGTATTTTTACTCTGCTTCTTGATGCGTCATTGTTTTAAAAAAGGAAACTAGCAGAGCCAGTTTGTTGCACTGCCAAAGCCGACTGAAAGGAGGTATTTTTCTGTACAGAAGTCCCTGAGGAAAAAAAAGAAGACGTTGTACATTTTTCACATCACCTGTTGTAAAGTTTTAATATGTGAGGCTTTAATTAAAACATTGTTAAACGACCTGTGGATTGCTATATCACATAGTGCATTTCTGCTCTTTTATACTTTTTTATGAGTTACAATAGCAGCAATTAATTTTGTTTGTATTTTTGCTTACAAACCAACTGCTTTTCAAATATTGTCCATAGAATAAATGCATATCCGTACGGAGGTGGCTTTCAGCTCACGATAGGAAAAGTAATTTAATGTTTGAGTTTTTGCTCGGCCATGAAGATGAATCCAGAGACATTCCATCACTAATATGATAGTAGCCATAATTTTGTATGAAGTATTATATATTTCTTTGTGTCTCTGTTCAAAATTAAACTATCAATCACAAATATTTATTTGAATGAATTGGTTTATTTCAAAAGCTTCACCAGCCATAACTTTTATGAGGTATTTCTTCACGTCTCCCTGTGGGCTATTGGAAATCCATAGCTCTCACTTCTTTATGAGATATAAAAATACATTTGTACGTTGTCCATGGAGTAATTCTATAAGAGAAATTGCAGGGGGTATGCAAGCGTTCATGCGTGGAAGTCCATTGTAACTGTGTGTAGAAACAGTGTTGGACATGGTCAGCATGTAACTGACACTTGTCTCAATAACAGTCCCCTTCTCACACACCAGTGCATTGGATTCTGCCTCTTTCTTCGCAATCGCTTCATTTCCAAGACATCCCCAGGGGTTTGCTGAGCTCCCTTGAATAAAATGGCGAGCGGGGGAGGGAAAGGCAGGCAAACAATAATTATCATATCTTCACAATAGGCTGAGAATCCACCGACTCAGAGAAGGGCCTTTTTATTCCAAAGGCTGCTGAGTTAACGTTAGTTACAAATTAGAAGAGAGAATGCGCTGCTGTGCTTCTGTGATAGCGGCTTGATAGCATTTTCAAATGTCTGGTTTGTTTTCAATTAGTTCGTTTGAGGAAAGCATTTGTAATTTGGGCCCTGCTGCCACGTCATTGGCTCTTCAGCTCGCTATGGAAACGATGCCCATTTCTCTGCCGTGATTAATTGCAGCATCTGTCCTGTCAGAAGCCCGACTGAAGAGGTCTGCAGGAAAACTGCAAATAAGCGCTGGCAACAGTCTTAAAGTGCTTATGATGAAATGAAAATTAAAAACAGCAAGTGCCGTGCATGACCTGAATCTCAACGCAGGGGAGAAGAGGAGAATGTGAGAGCGGGTGTCCATGGATACCAAACACATGCTTTAAAAACACACAGTAATGAGGCTCTGGGAAATCGCCGTTATTATTCTGAACAGATTCACAGCAGAGCCCATTAATAATGCATGGAGCTCCTTGTTATTCCATAACCCCTCAGTACTGCGGTCACTGTGTGTACAAATATCTCACAGCCAGGGTTGGAGTTATGGGACTCTGCAATACAAAGGTTACACATATTTTTCCTCTATACACACACACACACACACACACACACACACACACACACACACACACACACACACACACACACACATAATTTACTAAGATAATACACTGTTCCTCTTGTCATGTGCATTGGTTCCATTTGAAAAGGTGAATAAATAAATATCACCTGCTTTACGCTCCAGACTTTATGTCTGCGAGATAAATACGCAATATTATATCATCCTAGATGCGTGCAGAAATCAATAACACCCCTCCTTCTTCCTGTCCTCACCATTAAATGATGAAGGGCGTGAATATGTCAAGCAATCAGGAGGTGACCTAATTGCCGTGCCGAGGATGACTAAGTAGTCAGATGTGGAAGTTGAGGGGATTCTGTATTTTAATGATTTATTTGGCGCTTTTGTTGTTTTCCCGTTCATCGCACAGATACAATGAGAGCATAACAAAAGGCCTGCTGACACTGACCATCTGACCAGCAGACCCACGCTGCAGCCACTCTCTCAGTCTGGACTCCAGCCTGCCACCCTCATATTAAACTTGCTTTTTCCTGATAAGACCTGGTCCAGGGAAGTGCTCAGACTGATGATTTTGCAAGTCCAATGGCAGTCCGTGTTTACAGGGAGAACCAGGCCTCCTGACTCTGCTTAAATTCTTGACCTTGCGATGATGAGCTTTGTGAAGAGAACTATTGACCCCTGAGATGAATAGCGAACTTTGTTTGAGGGGCTCTTGGTTTCTGCGCTGGCTGGATGGACTGTTGACGCCCCTGACCAATGGTAACGTTTGTTTAGAGAACTTTTGACCCCTCAGACTAAAGGAGCGCCGTACATGGTGCCTCCGAGCAAAGTTAATGGGGGGGGGGGGCTAGTATAAATATTATGATACCCTCGCTCAACCTCTCTGATAATCTTATCTGAATCTTTTCATTTAATTCTGTTTATTATACATGTGGTGAGTTGGTTTAGTAAAAAAGAAATAAAGGCAGTCATCAGGAAAACAATAAATACACATTTTCAGGAAATATGAGCCCGAGTGCAAATAATTATAATAACTCTTTTGTTCCCTTTTCTTCTTCTTTCAGCTCTCACAAACACACACACGTTTTCCATCCTTGGTTTTCTGCTCAATGATGTTGCCTTGGTGATGCAGTGATTCAGCCATTAGGGTGAGCCCCCTCTTTTGTGCAGTTCTGTTATGGTAAGTCTGATCAGCCAGCATTTTGACCTAAGCACCGCTATACTATCACAACTCATACAACCTTTTAAATACAGAAATTGCAGGATTGAAACTGCGGTTGTGTGTGTGATATTGCCAGAGGCAGTGGTGCGGCTGCTAATGACTGTAAATAAGCCGATTTCCTTTAAATGATTAACAGTATGTAATCATACTCTGAGGACTGACGTGGATCTGCTGCAATGTTAAAGCACCAAACCTGAATGTTGCAATGGAGAAACAAAACTGCTTTACGTGGGATTTATGAAAAGAAAGCTCTTAGAATGAAACGACCTGCCTCTGCCTCATTTCAAGCTTACATGAAAGAGGCTTCATTCTGCCATTTGGGGTTTTCCATTTCCTGTAGTGTGCTATAGGTTTTTGTGCATGTAAATGGTCTGCAAGGGCTAAAATCCAAAAGTATCTCCAGAGGGAGTTTCTCTCCCACGCTCTCCTGCCTGAAACAACTTCTGTAACACATTGACATACGTAATGTCTGTGTTTCTATTGGCTAGTGCTCCAACACATTGTACATCATAGGCGTCATCGGGGAGGCGTGTGGTGCAGTGGGTTGGTGTTCGGATCAGGGGGACAGGTTCAAACCCCACTGCAGTCAGCATGTCGTTGTGTCCCTGAGACACTTCACCCCAAATTGCTCCTGTGGGGATTACCCACAGTATTGAGTATGTAAGTAGCTTTGGATAAAAGCGTCTAACAAGTGACATGTAATGTAATAGGCTAAGGGGCGGGACTAAGCGGTTGTCCTGTTATCACAACAGAGCCAGTCAGCTAACCAATCAGAGCAGACTGGGCTCTGCTTTCAGACAGAGGGTGAAAAGAGGTGCTGCAGCACAGGCAGTATGAGAGAAATAAAGATCTTTTTGAACATTAGAGCATGGAGACGTGTCACAGTAGAGACACTACATACTGATATGAACCTGTACATTAGCATAATAGGTTAGGGCCCCTTAAACAAACTCAAATAATAGTATTTTTATGCAAATACAAATGTGTTTTACACATATATGAGTGTGAAATGTGCAGTTAGCTAGAATGAGGGCAGATAAGCTCACCACCACCATGCTCCTGCTGTCAGCGTCACGTTAAAGGTCATGGAGTAAACATCGAAAGCCCAAAGAAAAACTGTTTATTACAAGCAGTTGTCAGTGTAACGATAACAGCGG